GCTTACACAACCCTGCTGAAAAATCCAGCTAAAACTAGCCAACCATCCTAGGCTGGTTTAAGCTGGATTTTTCAGCAGGGTTGTGTAAGCTACTTTTATTGTTCCCTGTGGAGAAACAACACAATAGAAAGTATAAAAGCAAGGTCTGCGAGTGTTTCTTTAACACAAAAGAAGAGATTTTGAGGACTGTTGGAACCCTGTAACCATTGACTTCCATAGTAGGAAAAACAAATACTAGAAGTCAATATAAAATAAATACTTGAAGGCGATGGTTAGAGGTTTCCAACATTCAAAATATATTCTGTTGTGTTCAACAGAAGAAAGAAACTCAAATAAGTCTTAAACAAGGGAAGGGTGGGTAAATGGTGACTGAATTTACATTTTTAGGTGAACTGACCCCTTTAAATTGAAAACGTTTGAATGTTTAATAATGGGGCAAAGCAGTGACGCAGCATGTAGTGCTGTCGCCTCACAGCAAGAAAGTCGATGGGTCGCTGGTTCGAGCCTTGGCTCAGTTGGCGTCCAAAGACATGCGGTGAATTGGGTAGGCTAAATTGTCCGTAGTGTTTAAGTGTGTGTGTGGATGTTTCCCAGAGATGGGTTGCGGCTGAAAGGGCATCCGCTGCATAAAAACTTGCTGGATAAGTTGGTGGTTCATTCCGCTGTGGCGTCCCCGGATTAATAAAGGGACTAAGCCGACAAGAAAATGAATGAATGAATCATGTTTAATAATGTACTTTAACCTCTTAAGGCCCAACGGGTTTTTTATAAGCATTTTTTATTTCTCATCAAATCATTAAATAAGACCAATAACCTTGATTTATTAACTTATTAACACATTATTCCCTAATTCCCCATGGTTAATGTACTTACAAGGTGTTTGCCCACCGGCAACTATAGTTGCCACTTAAATTTTTGACAAAGTTTACAAAAAGCTATAGATGTCTTGAAAGATTTGTTTTATTTGGACGAGTCTAGAGACCTTCATGATTATGTTGATATACATTTGTGAACAAAAAATTATTTTTATTATCATGAAAACTGCCTTTATTTGGGAGGGTTTGCCTCCATTTTGCATGCTGGAATTAGGGGTAGGAAGTTGAAGGCCTCATGTGTTAGTAAGTAAATCAATTCCTTGTTTCTCCTTTTTATTTGGTTGTTTGCTTGCATGCCATTGAGAAAATAAACATGGATAACATGTGGAAAACATGTTATCCATATAGCTTCTAAAAGCCAAATGGCAAGTTGAACTTGGGCAGCTGTAGATGCCAGTGCGAGCTTAAATGGGTTCAGTGACAAGACTTTTGTCTAAGCAGAGTCAGACCTTACTGTCCTAATGAAATCATTTAAGATCAAGGCATGATCGTATTTTATTGTGCTCAAATAAGCGTCATCTAGAGGCCTTTGCCTTTTATATAAGCCACTTCTGATACCAAATGATCAACTAGAAATCAACTTATTAAATTCAGTTCCTCAAACTTGGATAGGCGACAAGACTTTTGTCAGGTAGTGTATGTTTGAGATTATCGGCTATATACAGTGTAAAGCTATTGTTTGAATTGACGCTTCTCTTTTCATGACACAGTGGCAATTTAATGCAAATAGTCCTTTCTGAACATTAAAAGCATTTGCTTTAATTTTTATTATCATCAAAACTGCCTTTATTTGGGAGGGTTTCCCTCCATTTTGCATGCTGGAATTAGGAGTAGGAAGTTGAAGGCCTCGTGTGTTAGTAAGTAAATCAATTCCTTGTTTCTCCTTTTTATTTGGTTGTTTGCTTGCATGCCATTGAGAAGTTAAACATGGATAACATGTGGAAAAGTGCTTCTAAATGGAAAATGGCAAGTATGAACTTGGGCAGCTGTAGATGCCAGTGCGGGCTTAAATGGGTTCAGTGACAAGACTTTTGTCTAAGCAGAGTCAGACCTTACTGTCCTAATGAAATCATTTAAGATCAAGGCATGATCGTATTTTATTGTGCTCAAATAAGCGTCATCTAGAGGCCTTTGCCTTTTATATAAGCCACTTCTGATACCATCATGAAGTCCAGTGATTATTTGCTGTTCCTAAAACTTGTATAGGCGACAAGACTTTTGTCAGGTAGTGTAAATTTGAGAATATGAGCTATATACAGTGTAAAACTATTAGTCGAATTGATGCTTCTCTGTTCATGACACAGTGGCAATTTAATGCAAAATGTCCTGTCATTAAACAGAAGAGTGGCTTTAGTAGTGAATCCCTCATATACTTTTGATTTTCTTGCCAATTCTTTACCTACAGGCTTTCATACACAACCTAAGTAGTCTGGAAATGTTTTATTTCTTCAAGCTGTTCACACGTTGGCAACTAAACACCCTCGAATAACTAAAACTGAACAGTAGCTGCTTTTAAAAGCACTGATGTTCCTCACGAATCCCAAATGTGCATCTTTATGTGACGGTTTTCCTTGTGAAGCACGCTGGGAAAGTCCTGTGATCTGGGATGAAATCTAACGGCACATTAGTTTTTTATGCCGTTTTGAAGCTTGACCAGAACCGCTTAATGGCACTGTACCAATAACTAATGATCTGTCTACTGCAGCCCTGAAAGACATCACACTGTGCTGTGTACAGACGGGAATTTACAGAAGTAGACACCGGGAGAAATGTTGATTAAAGGTTTAAATAGACTTGCAAAGTTTACATGGACTTATTTGCTAAGCAGTTTTAAATCTGTGGAGTTTCTTGGTGACAATATTGTGCCTCTAAAAATGCCAACCATTGGGTTAAATAGTGTCATTGAGATTTGATGGAAGAGAAATTAACCCAACATTGGGTTTGTCCATATTTGACTCAACATTGGGCATCAACAACCCAGCATTTTTAGTGTAGTGTGTATTTTTAATTATCTTGGTGACAACATCGATAACGATGTATGCTCTAAAAATGCTGGGTCGCTTGAGCCCAATGTTGGGTCAAATATGGACGAATCCACCCATTGGTTTTAAAATGTGATTGAAATTTAATGTAAAAAAAAAAATACCCAGCATTGTCCATATTTGGCTCAACAGTGGGTTTCAATAGCCTAGAATTTATTGTCTGTGTGTGTTGTGTATTTTTGGATTATCTTGGTGACATAACATTGTGCGCTCTAAAATTGCTGGGGTATTGTAAACAATGTTTGGGTCAAAGATAGACAAACCCAACCATTGGTTTTAAAATGTAATTGAACTTTAGTGGAAAGAATTAACCCAATGTTGGGTTTGTCTATATTCAATTCAACGTTGGTTTTAACAACCCAGGATTTTATTGTGTATTTTTAAATTATCTTGATCACAAAACATGTTCTCCTTGCGCTCGTGTGGGTTTCCTCCGGGTGCTCCGGTTTCCCCCACAGTCCAAAGACATGCGGTACAGGTGAATTGGGTAGGCTAAATTGTCCGTAGTGTATGAGTGTGTGTGAATGTTTGTGTGGATGTTTCCCAGAGATGGGTTGCGGCTGGAAGGGCATCCGCTGCGTAAAACCTTGCTGAATAAGTTGGTGGTTCATTCCACTGTGGCGACCCCGGATTAATAAAGGGACTAAGCCGACAAGAAAATGAATGAATGAATGAATGAATGGTCACATAACATTGAAAACATTGTATTGTCTATAAATGCTGGGTCGCTGGAGCCCAATGTTGGCAAATATGGACAAACCCAGCCAGTGGTTTTAAAATGTGATTGAAATTTGTTGTAAAAAAATAATAAATACCCAAATGTTGGGTTTGTCCATGTTTGACTCAACATTGGGTTTTAACAACACTGCATTTTTTTGTGTATTGTGTATTTTTAGATTATCTTGGTGACACAACATTGATAACACTGTATGCTCTTAATATGCTGGGTTGTTGGAATCCTAATGTTGCATCAGATATGGACAAACCCAACCATTGGTTGAAAAATGTACAGTAAATTGAAATTGAAATTTGATGTAAAAATTAACTTTGGTTTGTCAATTTTTGACTCAATCTTGAGTTTCAACAACACTGCATTTTTTGTGTATTGTGCATTTTTTCGATTATTTTGTGATATAACATTGATAAAATTGTATGTTCTAAGTCGCTGGAGCCTAATACTGGGTCAAATATGGACAAATCCAACCATCGGGTTGAAAAATGTAATTGAAGATTAATTGAAGAAATTAAAAAATTGGGTTTGTCCATATTTGGCTCAACGTCAACATTGAAAACATTGTATGTTTTAAAAATGCTGGGCTGCTGGAACAGAATGTTGGGTCAAGCATAGACAAACCAAACCATTGGTTTATAAATGTAATTGAAATTTAATAGGGAGAAAATTAACCCAACTTTGGATTTGGCCATATTTGACTCAGCATTGAGTTTCAACAACCCAGCATAAATGTTTTTTTAATTTTGTATTTTTAGATTATCTTGGTGACATACCATTGATAACATTGTATGTTCTACAAATGCTGGGTTGGAATCCTAATGTTGGGTCAAATATGGTCAAATCCAACCATTGGGTTAAAAAGTAAAGTAGCATTGAAATTTAATTGACAAAATTAACCCAACTTTGAGGTGTCCAG